TCAGCCTGGGTTCATCTCAAAACCTACAAAAGCTACAGAGCTGAAACTTTGGGAAATTAATCTACATGGACGTACGGGCCCCAATCCCCAAAAAGGGTGCTCTTAGCTGCGTGGTACCCACGTACGGACCCCTCAAAGTTTTTTGGGGGTAAGTCGCTAATTCCGGACTAGAAAAGCTAGAAAGCTGAAATTTTAAGGGGATGTTCCGCGTCCACATAAGTCTTAATGAGCTCTAACCCAGCCTTCGGTTATGCATGGTACCCACGCATGGGCACGCCAAAGTTTTTTTCGGGTAAGTTGCTAACTTGAGAATTTGAAAAGCTAGAAGGCTGTAATTTTATGGGGATGTTCTACGTCCACGTAAATCTCAATGAGTTCAAACCCAGCCCTTGGGTATGCGTGGTACCAACGCACGGGGGCACCAAAGTTTCTTCGGGTAAGTTGCTAACTCGAGAATTCGAAAAGCTAGAAGACTGTAATTTTAAGAGGATATTTCCTGTCCACCTAAGTCTCATTGAGCTCAAAACCAAACTCCGGAAACGTGGGGTACCCACGTAAGGGTCTGCCAAAACTTTTTTCAAGTAAGACACTAACTCGAGAATTTGAGAAGCTGGAAGACTGAAATTTTAAGGAAATGTTCCCCATTCACACTCAAACCTATCCCCCGGGTATGAGTCATTCCCACGCATGGGCCCGTGAAAGATTTTTTCGCATAAGTTGCTAACTCGGAAACCTGAGAAGCAAGAAGACTGACTGGAATTTAGAAAGGATGTTTCTTGACAGTCCTGGCGACCAGTCTGAAATTCTTTTAGCTAGAAGCATCTGCCGGAAAAAACAGTGCCGTTAGCGACAAAAATCTGTGAGGAACTATTGGAAAGAACGCATCTTCGTACGGGCAGCCCGTGTGTTGGCCAATTATCTTTAATTTACTTTCTTTGTACTACTGTGTTGTCTTTTCCGGTTTACTGTTGGTTCCAGTTTTTCCCTCGAACTCCTGACTAGTATTCCTGGTCCCCTCCTCTATCCTGCCTTCAGTGCGGCATCTATTATTCCCAACCACTGTCACCATTTATGTCCCCTCCTCCACCCTGCCCCCCCATCCTTGTCCATGGAGCTGCCTCTGGAAAACTATTCACCAGCACCTCCCAACCACGTGCAACCTACCCAACTCACTGTCCCCGACTACGCGAACCCACCGTCCAGCACAGGGTAGCGCTACCTGCTCAGCGCTCGTTGACAAAATTACGCTGTAAAATAGCTTTAGCAGAGAAGCTAGAGCTCTTCCACAATGTCGGCCGAGCCGAGTCGAGGTATAGTAATTGCCGAAAAACTCGGTTTGGCTCAGGTCACCTCAGTCGAGATGCGAATTACGGAAACTGGTGTTGGGTGGCGTTCGGGAGGAAGAAGGGAGCGGGGGGAGGGGGAGGGGAGGAGGGGCGGAGGGTGGAGGGGATGAAGTACAGGGGAGGAGGGGATGGGCGGGGTGTTAGCTGGGGTAGGGGAATCTAAACAAGGAGGGGCTGGCGT